CTCCCAATCTTCAGAATTACTCTGATGATATCAACAGTAAGTTGATGAAAGCTCATAATAAAAGGCTATTTTATATTCCGGAGTGCACTAATTTTATTGAATTTAAAAATGTTTACACCTGGGATTCAAGTATTTAGAATAATCAAAGATATACATACATACATACATACATACATACATACATATATACATACATACATACACATACACACACATATATATACACATACACACACACACACACACACACATATATATATATATATACTTAATATCATTAAAAATGCGAATCCTGGGCATATCAATAAAAATATAAGAAAAACGAACACCAGGATAAAATAAACAGGACTGTTTAATATAAACAAGCCTGTGAGTAAAAAAGGTTACTTACTGAGCTTTCATCAGCCAAACTACTGACATCATCAGAGTTAAAATGCTAGGTGATTAGGGAGCTTGCCTATATACAGCTGCCTGTCTCTGCACCCGGCTCCTCGAGCGTGTCATTGGCCCATTAGCTATGTTACTCTGCAATGTGTTAAATTGATTCTCATCCGGCAGCCTGTTGGTGGATCTGGTGATTGTAGCTCCCTCTCCCTGATCCTGCAAAGAACAACTATACAGATGTTCCTGCTTCATACTCCCCCCTCCTTTTTTGTCTCTCCTTCCAAGCCATTTGTCGTCTCCTCCCATAGCAGCTCTTGCCGCCTCACCTGCAGCCCTATCACTCCAGTCCTGCCAGTTGCTATCTTGTTGTGGTGTCACCTGGCCCCCTCCTCTTTTGCCAGTTCGCTGTCCTCCCTAGGGACCGCAGGTTCCCCATTTGTAGAGCCATGGTCTTGCTTTTGCACCGTATGGGATGGCCATCTACTCCGTGGATTGCCACGTTGTTTCTCCCATCTTCTGAGAGTCTGGTATGCTGGTAGGAGGTCTATGTGCCGATTGATGAAATTTTCATCCGAAAGCCAGGCTTCTTTAAGAAGGCGGCCACTGTTAGTGGTCTCACGAGATATGGTCTGTGCGTTTTCCAGATCAAATGTATGGTTCAAATTGGCCATGTGAGCCCACACTTGGGAGCGCTGCTCCTGCCTTTTGATTGCCAGTTCATGTTTGTGGACCCTAGTCCTGAGCCTTTTAGCTTTTTTCCCAACGTAATTGCAGGGGCAATTCCTGCAATTAATTCTATAGACTATAGAAGACTGTTCACCGTTGGGGAGCGGCTCTTTGGGACACATAATCTGGGTTCTTAGGGTCTGCTCTGGTCTATGGGCAATGCTCACATTGTGGGGGGGCAGCAAATTGGAGAGGCTTTAACACATCCGTTTATAATCTTCATGGTATCATAAAATCTGGTATCTAACGTACTAGAGTTACTTAGGAATTATAATTGGACTGTTAACTTTCATTGTTAAACATTGCGGTTGCTAAGCAGTAAACTCATATGACCACACTGGACTTATGACACCACATCCCATTTTTATACATGACTGCAGTTTGCAGTTTTGGCTGTTGCTGTCAACCCATTTTTTCCATGTTTGGCTCCTTGTGGCAGAGTGGAAGCAAACAGGTTGATGCCAGGAATCCCCAAGGAATCCTTCATTGACTGGCCAGGAAAATTTTACTAGACCAATTAGGAATTCTTTCTGGCTAAGTAAATAGCATCAGAGAAATTTGAAGCACCTTTTAAAATGAAGCTGCCAAAGAACCCTGCTAAAGCCTTCGCCTTTTATCCCTGCACATTTCGCAAGGCCGGAGGTATAGTACCTGGAAATCCAGTACCTGGATTTCTTTGTGTGTATACAAGAGGAAAAGTATAAATGTATCCTACCTTTCTCCCTTTAATTATATTTGATAAAAGAATAAGAAAGAATAATTTAGGAGAATGAATGTGTTCGGTTTGACAGGATTATGTCAAGTGTGATATTGCCTAGAAAAGTAGAATACAGTATGTTTCAATCTCAAAATAGCCATTTTGATGTTTTGAGCATACTAAATACATCAATGAATTCTTTCACCTATTTAATTTAACTATACATTGTCAATGGCCTATAATAAAAAAAATATTTAGTGTTAATACTTGCACATTCTCAAGTCAATTGCAAGTTTCCCAGATGGACAGTGAAGACAAATTTAAAGTTGTCTTTTTTATACTCCATGCACACACAAATGAGCAAAAGTGTCCCCTTTATTTCTGTATGTAGCCTTGACAGTAGTTAATCCCATATATGAGAGATATGTAGAAGTACCTGTGCAAAAATTTTTAGCTGTCAGAGGAGATAGAAATGGCCACCTAGTTTTAACCAGATATTTCATCTTGATCTATAGTAAAAGTAGAATAAAATATATTTATTCTGAGTCTTAAAGATTACAAATTAAATGTTTAATTGTAATTTTATGATGTAGCGTGTTAGATGTTTATATGCTTAGTTACTGGAATATGGTTTTTCTGAAAAACATTGAAGATACGTAGTCATATGAAAAAGTATACTCCATTGGAATCTTTGTCTTTTTCAACATATTCAACATACAGAAATTTGATCTTCATTTCAACAAGATAAAGAGGATATGATAGAACAAATATGCATCATTCACATTTTGTAATCTATTGTGTAATCTAAACAAACATAAATGAAGATTTCGTACATGGAAGAAATAAGTACATAATCTCAAACATCTTAAATTAGAATCAGGTGTACCAGATCAGGTTCATTGTTAGGGGAATAACCTGTCTTATTTAAACCTCAGCATTTTGTTTGATTTCCTGTTAGTTGCTGAAGTGTGTGGTATCATTATGTCTATATTTAAAGAGCTCTTTGAGGCCTTGGAAATAAGATTATAGATGCCTGCAAGCCTGGAAATGTTTTTTTTAAAAAACTCCAAAACAATTGGACAGCAATCATTACACTGTCCAGAGGGTCGTTTACAAGTAGAGAAGTTCTCAAACAACTGCTAACTTGCCCAGGCCAGGCTATCCCAGAAAGTTCAAACCAAGTTCATCAGTACACAAGATACTGAAAGAAGTGTATAAGAAGAATTTCATCACATGACCTACAGGTAGCTCTTGCCACTATTAAAGTCAAAGTGCATGAGCCTCTCATCAGAAAGAAGCTACATAAACTAGAACATGTTTTAAGTGCCAGAAGGAAATCTTTGCTGTCCAGAAAAAACATCAGGGCAAGAGTAAGTCTTGCTTATGAACTCCTAGACAAGATGCCCTGGACAGGCAATGCAAAGATAATTTGTCAATAGTACCAGAAGACTTGTTTGGTGAAAATCAAGTCAGCATTTTACCAAAAGAACCTTCCCAATTGTAAAGCATAGTGGTGGAAATATTATGATTTCAGGCTGCTTTGCTGCATCACCCTGGGCAGCTCACCACTATAGATTTCACTAGGAATACTTTGTTATACCAAAAGGTGCTTGATGATACTGTGAGTCAATTTTTCAGAAGATGAAACTTAACTAAGGGTAGATCTTGCAACATGACAATGATCCTAAATGTTTCAGTAAATTTACAACATAATGGCTGAAAAAAAATGGAGGGCTATGTAATGGTCAAAGCAAAGCACAGAACTAAATCCCATCAAGATGCTGTCAACTTTTCAATTTTTATTCATTGACATTACATTTATATATTGTTTAATCAAAAATAAAATATTGTTATGTCCACATCTTAAAAAAATAAAAAAACCTTTACATGGGGTGTATTTACTTTTTCACATCCGTAATCTTGCCAGGAATTGTCTTCATTACTTCACTTAAAAATCTGAATCTGCGTTGCAAGTAATTAGCCTTTTGATTATAACATCTGGATTGTTAAAGCTATTCCAATTACTCCTGTGGAATAGCCTGCAATTTTTAACTATTCATTCTTATCCTGGAGAGGCAGTTTATAACCTAAAAACATTGAAGTATGTTGAAATCATTGATTCTGTCAGAAAGAAATCAGGAATTATTCATAATTAAATCATGAAGAATTGTCAGTTGCAGATAGGAAAGTACTGTTTAATACAGGCATGTCAAACTTGCGATGTCATGTGACGTCGCACAACGTATCGGAGCTTTTTTGCCATTGCCAGCAATGGGTGGGCGCAGCTCTGGTATGATGAAACCGGCCCGTGGGCCGGCAGTTTGACACCCCTGGTTTAATAGTAAATAAAGTATTGCATGAAGGATTTTATGAATACAATCTGGAAGAGAAAGAGTGGTCATATAAGAAAGATCAGCTAAACTCAGAAGACATACAGTATAAGTAGATTGATTCATTATAGTTTTCCTAATATTGTTTCTACAATATTATGTTTCTACACATAAAGTTTATAGAATATTTACTGTACTTGACTGAAAGCAAAAACTATTTGAAATTAAATGTAAGAAGAACTATCAAAATAGCACACAAATGCCTCTCTCTCTCTGTGTACACATATATAAATATATAAAGAGAAATAGCATATCAGCTGGGGTTTTTGGGGGGGAAGTACAGTTCTCCTAGAATTTGAAGAAAACTCTCTACTCAGAAAGGAAGATGTATTACAACAAAATTGCTTGTTCATTTGCTTGTTCAGGAAAAATGTTCTCCTAAACTGTAACAGAACAAATGTTACCTTAAAATCTTTGTTGAGCCTGAACTAGAAAACATCTGGGCAGAAAGAATGAAGTTATTACCAGTTTAGAAGAAATATTCAAATAACACTACACATTTGATGTGGCATTCACATAGACTGAATAAGCATTTCAACTAGAATAAATATATAAAGTATACTTAGTATTGTGTAAGGGTTTATATATTTGAAATTTGCACAAGCCTCTAGATTCTGATTGCTTTAAAAGCTGGAAAGGGAGTCCCATTTCTCTTTCATGACAGTATTTGGCTGTGGAGAGAACGAATAAACTTATAATATACACGTGAGTTGATAGAACACATATAATATAGAATCTGTTTCCAACATATACTCTGTTTAATTCTGTTCCAGGTGAATAATTGAATGTATAGAAGAATTCCAGGTGGTATGATCTGACGTGCATACAGAAGGAATGAAGCATGGATGTGAAAGAACGCAGACCTTATTGCTCCCTGACAAAGAGCAGAAGAGACAAGGAAAGGCGTTATACAAATTCTTCCACAGAAAATGAAGAATGCAGAGTGCCTACTCAGAAGTCTTACAGTTCAAGTGAAACCTTGAAAGCTTTTGATCATGATTCTTCCAGACTGCTGTATGGAAATCGGGTAAAAGATTTAGTCCCCAGGGAATCTGATGAATATACCAGACAAGGTAGGCAATTAACATAAATCTCTTTTATGAATGTATACATTGTCCTCTGTGTGGTCCATTTTCTCATGCCAGTAATATAAATGATTCACCAATGGTATATTATACTGCTACCATATTGGTCTCAAACTTTAATGTGGTTATTCATGTTAATAATTATTTATTTTCTATCAGTATAAGAAAGCTATTTTGGGAAACACTTCAGAACATCCATACACTGTTGTTTCTAGGTTATGATACACATATGCAATTACCTGATCTCCAAAAACCACATGGAAAGAGATTTGATAGCTGATAGGTTAATTGAAAAAGTGTTTTGATTTTCATATCAAGTAGATTAATATATTGCATGACATATAATATTGTATCTTATCTCATATATATATATGATAAGATACAATATTATATGTCATGCAATATATTAATCTACTTAATATGAAAATTATATATATATATATAATGTTATATAAGTATATAATATATAATATATAATGTTATATTTTATATTAATATCATATCAGGTAGATAAATTACATAATTTATGAGATTCAGTGTTCTTATAGATCATAAGCAGGGTTTGCAGACAAACTCTTCATGATTCCTTTATCATGGCAGAATTTCTTTTTCTAGCTGGATTTCCAAAATTTGAATATAACATCTTACGACCAGTGTTGTTTTTTTTCAAAAAAAAAAAAAGGTGCCGGAACTCACACATGTCATATAACCCGCCTTGCCTACCTTACAAGGTTCCATCCAAAAAAAGGTGCCAGAACTCCGTTCTGGGTGTTCTATGAGAAAAAAAGCCCTGCTTATGACAGACTGTTTAGTTAAAGGTAAAGGTGTCCCCAGAAGTTTTATATTGCTTGGTCGTGACTGACTTTTAGGAGCAGTCCTCAACTCCATTTCTTATATTATGTGCTGGCATAGCATTACACTGCAGCACAGAGCATATGGCAAAGCATGGAACACTGTTATCTTCCTGTATGCTTAAATGTGCTCCCTATTCATTAACTTGTATTTGTATGCTTTTGAACTGCTAGGTTGGTAGGAACGGAGACAAGTGATGGTAGCTCACTCTGTCTTGTGGCACTCGGGTCTTAAACGGTTGAGCTATAGACCTTTAACAGTCAAAGACTCAGCATCTTAACCACTGAGTCATTGCTTTCAAGATCTGTCATAAATCAGGATGATTAAACAATGTAAAGTATTGCCTTAGGCAGTTACTATGAATCTGCAACTGCAAGTTGTTTGACTTCCCTGATGGATTGATTGATTGACTGATTATGTGCCATCAAGTTAGGGCTAACTGGATGGACCTTCTCCAAGATAATTTATTCTTAACCTGGCTTTTCAGATCTTTTTATGGCATACCCATCACTGGTGCAGTTGGGTCTGTCCACATTTCTCCTGGTCACTTTAAAAAATATGATAATTTGAACTGTCCTTATACTCTTTTTAGATAGTCTTATTTACATTTCCTTTCCTCTTATATGCAGAATTTAGTAACAGAACAATATTGGCAGAACAATAACAAATCTAACAGTGTATGTGCATGTTAAATAAAGAAGCGTGAACAATTTGATTCAGTGTGTGTTTGTTGGAAAATCCTTCTATCTTTATCATATTTAGTCAGGAATCCTATACAAAATTCCATTAATATTTCATAGTCATACTGTCATGGTCATAACAACTGATCATGGAAATAACAAGATAGATGGGAATGATTATAAATTGCAAATTTATGGTTGTATTCTGTATATGTTGCATCCCTTCTGGCCTCTGTGTCCCTTCTGATTCTTCTGAGTTTATTTATTATAATAAACTGTCATACTCATCATTCTTAAAAAATAAAATTGTAGGTAGATGACTATAGTCTGGCATTTGTTCTATTTTTCTCCTGAAATGTGCATCATCACTCAGGGGAAAAAAAGTGAGATGGAGGTGGCATTGAGTATCATATATGGTGTGTATGTGAAGTGAAATGTTTTGTTTATGTGATATGTAGCTGTTAATTTCTTTTGTCAGTCCTTTGCGGATAAAGTTTGTAACTGAACTGGGAACCCAGAAAAACCATGAATTCTCCAGTACAGGAGATGGAGACTCCACCCATGGGTTTTCTTTGTCTGCCTGCTCTGAAGACCAAGTAGCCAAACTTGACATGCCCCCTCTTGCTAGGATCTAGTCTTAACTTGGTCTTCAGCTCTGAGAAGACGTTTCAGGTTTGGCTCTCATCAGACAGGTAGAAAAGATCCATTGGTGAATTACCATCCTTCCTCAAATCAATCTAAATTCTCCCTCCCTTTAAATCCTAATTTGGCACTCCTCTTTAAAACTCCCCTTTGTCACTCGAATCAACCTTAATCCTTAATTGCTATTTGGGGGAGTGGGAGGTGAGGGGGGGGGAAAAAGTCTCCTGCAGCTTTCCCTTCCGTTTTTTTCCCCAGGGCTCTGGGGGGAGAAAATTGCCTGACAGGCTTGTCAGGCAAAAGCTTCACTCTCAATCAATTGTTTTGGGACTGCAGGCTTGTGAGTCCCTCATCTTGATACTGAGGCCTCCGGATCATCTCCGGCAGCCGATTTCGGTCACGGCCGCCATTTTGGATGCCGAAAAAGGCATCGGACAAAATTTTGCTCGTTTGCAGTTTGGGAGCCGAGATTCGGCTTCAGAGTGCAGCGGCGTTGGTGGCATAGTAATTTCCTTGCCGGGGACCTGTTTCTCATAGCTTCAACTGACGAGGACAGGTGGCGGCCGCCATTTTGAGGCCGCCCGACGGAGGCGTGCAGAAACGATCTCTCCAGATATCGTGAGGACCAGCTTCTCTCAATTGCTGGGGGGCTTTCCACCGGGATTGAACTTTAACTTCTCGGGTCCTGAGGGACTAATAGACTCGCCCGCAACAGTCTGTAGAGTATAAACCTCAAACGGGCCTACGGCGGCCGCCATTTTGAAAACGCCATTTTAAACACCACGCAGCACTTATCTAGGACAGAGGCCTACCCCAGGTCCGGCCTACAGGCCTCATCAATCTATCTCACTGGCCGTTTGGTATCTGCCTACAGAGGCTGTTACTGAATGCTTGTAATTCACTGCTCAGCCTCATTTTCAAATTGATCCTTTCTTGCCAGGCCTGCCTCAGGTCCCTTGTACCCTTCATTGGGCATTTTTTTTTAAAAAAAATTGTGTGTTCTTTTGCCCATCTGGTGCATATTGCCTGACCACCTAAGGCCTCCGGGCGGAGTCCAAACGTGCCTTCGGCATCCAACTCAATTGCCGTGACTATAGTCCAGAGAGAAATTTACTTTTGGTCGGGTGGCCAGGGGAACAGCCTTGTTGTTGGTTCCAATCTCACTCCCGCCAGCTACTTGCCTGCCTGAGCGTCACCTCAGCTTGTCTGAGACTGCTCCACTGGGATGGAGGGTTCCTCTTTGCCACAACCCACTCCATCCTCCAGTCACGGCTGCCATAAATCCTCTGAACAGGAGGCGGCAGGCAAGTCGAAGTCCAAAACCAAGCATATAGTCAAGAAGTCCACCAAGCTGGCGGAGAAGCAAGCCAGCCGTAGGCACCAGGCTCTGGAGAAGGAGTTCTCCAGAGCACAGAGGCAGGCTGGACTAGATATGATGCAATTGGAGGCCCTAGAGCCGGACCTTCCTTTGGGGCCCTCAACCTCTGCCCAAGGAGTATGGTCCATCCCAGGGACACCGGTCACAATAGGCTCACCACCTCCACTTGCCCAACACACTCCAGCTACTCCAGGAGTAGTTCCTGAGGCCACCTTTACGCCTACGTCAGCGGGACTCAGGGGACCGGACTTGGGGGATATTTTCTCAGATGGCCACCTTGAGGTCTTGCTAGCCAAGGTGGTGGACAGGGCCTTAGCTCAGCGTTCCCATCAGTCTCCTGACCAAGGGGCCTCCACTTCTGGCATGACTCCTTATGAGGCTCCCGCTGAATGCCACATGCCCCAGGAGCCCATGTCGCCTGCGCATTCTTGCATGAGCGGTTACTCCTCTCCCCAAGGTGAGGAACAACTGGATATCATGCTGTCAGAGGAGGAAGAACTCCCTCCTGAGCCTGCCTCCTCGGGAGGCCTTTTCAATCCGGCTCTTTTTCTCTCGATCCTTCGGAAGGCCATAGTAACGGCCAATTTAGGATCAGATCAATTTCCCCAACCGCAGGCCACATCGGATTCTGGCCCTCACCCGATATTTATTGAGACAGTGGCAACCGAACACTACGTCCCGTGCCCCTCCATATTCCTCAAGGGGATTAAAAAACCATGGGCTTCCCCTTTCTCATTCCCCTCTATAAGCGGGACTGACAAGAAAATATTCAGCACCTCCTCTGATCTCAGCGATGCGCTTGAGGTTCCCAAGATCGACGAAGCATGGACACCTCTGGTATCCCAGACGGCGGTTGCGGGGGACCTAGCACAGGTGCTTAAGACGGATGAGAAAAGGTGGGAGCATACCTTTCGAAAGACGCATCAGTCTGCAGCTTGGGCAATTAAGACAGCCAGTTGCGCATCCTTTTTTGTTCGAACCACCCTTCTCTGGTTGCGCCAGCTTCAGGCCAGAGTCCCTGCTGAGGATTTGCGTACCCACCAGGACCTAAGCAAAATGGTGGCAGCCACTGAGTACGCTGCGGACGGATCACTTCAGTCCGCCATCTTCGCCTCTAGGTCTATGGCATCTAATATCACGGCCAGAAGGATGTTGTGGCTCAAACATTGGCAGGCTGACACCAAGCTCAAATGGAGTCTAGCGACGGCCCCTTATCTTGGCAACAACCTATTTGGGGAGTCCCTCACCCCATACCTTGCAGAAAATAAAGACAAACGCAAGGTCATGGCTCATTTAAACAAGAAGCCCGACAAGCGCCCCACTCCCTACTTTCGTAGGCAATCCTTTCGACAGGCAGCAGGTACAACAGTCGCTCAGTCCTCCCGCTCAAACACTCCCAGACAGGATAGGCCGTACGACCGTCCTTACGACAGGACAGG